ATATCAATCAATGGTCCAACCCCAGCTTCAAGGCCTAAAAACTACATCAATGACTGGCACAGCTAACGACACTGGTGCAGTAGTGGCACTTTTATCTTGTAGGTAATCAACAGCTACCTAATTGGACTTATAGCCCACTCAATGGGAGGAAACTCATGTCTAGTACTGTAAACCTAGCCAAATACACATAACTGGAGAGGTCACAGATCTTAGAGAAAATCCCAAGGTTCTCATGTCCTAGACTAATATAATTTCTTACTATGTGCAAAATATGGATCCTTAAATTTACAGACAAATATCCCAGTCACCACCCATCAAAGGAGCTTCTTTTTCAACAGACAGAGATTATTAGAGTCACACCATTGGTCACACACAGAGATTCTCTGGGAGTTGCCCAATCCTAAGTGGCATATCCAGGATGCATTCTCTATATCGAAGACTCGTGGAACATAGCACAAGGGATGAAAAGAACACTAATGCATCTTTCAATTCTCATCAATGAAACTCTCTCATGCAACAGAGGGCCAGGAACACAAAAGGCCACAAATGGCCAAAAAGCAAAGAATAAGAGTCTGCAGAATGTGGGTCCTTGGCCAGGACTCCTATATTGAGGTCCACCCACCCAAGACTCAGGGACCATTGAAAGAGGGGGCGGAAAGACTAAGAGCCAGGGAGGAGGTGCATGACCATACGGAAATAGTCCTACAGGCACCTGGGACCCTTCTCATACAAACCTTCAGCAATGGTGTCAGCATGCACAAGACTCATGCAAACTTAGGCAGACAAAAATCCAGCACAGAACGGTGAAAATGAACAGCAAGCCCCAATCTTAGTGGAAGAATTATTGGCAGCTGATTACTTCTGGGTGAGGAAAAGCTGATCTTGAAGGGAGAGACTCTTGATAGGCTGACTAAACCCCAGTGAATGAACTTGCACTGAGGGACACTAACTTTACATAATAGCCCTTAGCACAATGACAGAATGTATGAACCTCAGTGGGAGGGTTATGGGAGGGTGCCAGAGGGGAAGGGGGTATAAATATGATTTTATGTATGAAATACACAAAAATTCAATAAAATTTTTAAAAAGAAAAAAATTAAAGGTTTATTAAAATTAAGAGAAAAATTTTAAGTACACATATATTATGAATCTTCAGAGCCACTGGGAGTTGGCAGTCAATTAGAAAACCATGAAGGTTTTTATTGTTTAATTATCACATGTGTGCCACATATGTAGAGGTCAGAAGGCAACTTTTGGGAGTTGGTTCTCTTCTCACACCATGGGTTCTGGGATCAAACTTGGGTCATCAGGCTTATATGGCAAGTGCTCTTACCCATTGAGCCATCTCGCTGGCCCCATCAAGGCCTTTAATAATCAAGTATTCAGCTAAGTGAAGAGAATTCCTTGATACAAAAGGGGAGGAAGGACACATGTAAGGATAAGGGCATATTAAACAGATATCCACAGAAGGCATGCTGAATCAAATGCAAAAACAATGAACATAAACATGACTAAATCAACCGTGACCCATCACAAAAGCATCTCATTCCAAAGAGGACCATGGCTCTCTAAAAGATGGACCATGGGCTGTGGCTGGAGCTCAGTAATAGACTGTACTTGGCATGAATTAAGGCCCTGGGTTCCATTCTCAGCACCAATTAAAAGAAGGAAAACTGATCTCCTGACAGATAAGAGCTACATTTATACATACATACATACATACATACATACATACATACATCATCTCCAGGTACCACATAGTTTACAGAAAAAAATTTATAACTGTGTGCTCAGTAAGTCCAAAACCTGTAAGCAGCCTGAAAGGTAAAGATTAGAATACCAATCATGGAATGCTGATGCACAGTCGATCCTTCGTATTCATGGGTTCCACATCTTCAATCAACTGAGGATAAAATGCAAACTCAGGCAGACAAAAATCCAGCACAGAACTGGGGAAATGATCAGCAGACCCCAATCTTAGCTGAGGAAACATCGGCAGCTGTTTACTGCTGGGTGAGGACGAGCGGATCTTCCTAAAACAAGGGACTCTAGATAGGTTGACTAGACCTCAGTGGATGGACTTGCACTAGGGAACATCTGGGAACACTGACTTGACACACTGGGCCTTAATATAGATGACAGAGTGTATGGGTTCAGTGGGGGGGGGGGGTCGGTGGGGACAGGGGTATAAAGATAATTAAGATTGTTTGAGATATTCTGCATAAAATACACAAAAATAAAATAAAAATAAATTTTTAAAACCCATAACACAAAAAAAAAATACTTGGGGAAAAACTTCACCTCTACTGAGCATGAACATGCTTGCTCTTGTCATTATTCCCAAACAATACAGTGTAACAACTATTCACAGAGCATTTATAACACCTCAGGCATTATAAGCCATCTAGATGTTAAGTAGACAGGAGGATGTATATAAGTATATGCAAATGATATGTCATTTTATATAAAGGGACTTGGGCATCCTCAGATTTGGGTATCCAAAGGAAGGGGGGTTGTCCCTGGAATCAATCTCCCTTTGACACCAAGGAAAAACTCTAATAACAAAAATAATATCAAGAGCTACCAAAACACAAAATAAAGTTACTCAGATAATTAACCACCATTCACTGACCTACCTAAGCGGAAATGTGTAGTTAGGCATAATTAGCATGCTCATGCATAAAAACATTAATTGCTTCTTCAAGAAGATAAGATAAAAAGGCAAGACAAGAAAAGATTAAGTTCTTGAATAGCATCTAAAGGATATTCTATCAAATCTTTCTAGAAGCGTAACAGAAAGAATGAAAATATATTACTGATTAAAAAGTCTCACCTTTGGAACTGTGAAGGGAATTGTCTAAATACTAGAAAAATGAACCAGTGTGACTACCAGAATGCTAGGGATTAGATCTTAAGTGTCTCTTTCCCTGTGTTGAAAGCTTGGTCATTAGGCTATGGTACTACGGGGAAGTGGTAGAACCTCTAAAAGGTGAGGCCTAGTGGGAAGAAGCTGGTCAGTGAGTGCCCTTTAAGGAGGTGTCGGAGCCCAGGTCCCTTCCTGTCTTTTTGCTTCCCAAACACCATGAAGTGAACAGGCCTCCATCATGTGCTCCCACCATGATATGCTGTGTCACTAAAGGCCCAAAGCAACAGGGTCAAGAAACGATGGGCTGAAATCTTTGAAATCATGAGCCCTAATTAATTTTTCTTCTTTTTACAGTGATTTTCTCAAGTATTTTGCCACAGCAACAGAAGGCTAACACACACAGACGAAAAAAAGCTTTGTCAAGAAAGGTTTCTAGAAATAGTCTACAGAAATCTTTCAGAAAGAGGTTAGAGAAACCATAAAATGGCTCTTGACTAGACAATACTGGATCCCACTGTGATAGTTGTTAATAACCTGACAGGACCTAGAGTCTTCTGAAGATCTCTAGGAGATCATCTGGACTACATTAACTGAAATGAAGACCCCACCAACTGTGGGTGGCACCATTCCCAAGTAGGGATCCTGGACCGCACAGGTAAAGGGAGCTGAGCCACAGCATGCAGTCGGTGCTCTGTGCCTCTGTGCTGTGGTGTACCCAGCTGCTTCCAGCTCCTGTCTTCCCTGCCAGGGTGAGCTGTGCTTGGAAACTGTAACTTAAGTCTCTTTTGTCAGAGTATTTTAATCAGAGCAACAGGAAAAGAAAGGAAGACACTGTCCACACTCACAGCTTAGCTGGTCAGAAGAGGCTATATAAGCTGCAAGTCTCTCATCCTAAATGCTTGGGACAAGAAGTGTTTTGAGCCAGATGTGGTGGCACACACCTTTAGTTCCAGCACTCAGGAGGCAGAGACAGGCAGAGCTCTGTGAGTCTGGTCTATATAGCAAGCTCCAGGCCAACTGGGGCTACAGAGAGATGCTGTCTCAAAAAGAAGTGCTTGGGATTTCAGAGTTTTCTCAAAGTTTAGAATACCTGGATGTAATGAGATACATCAGAGTTGGGACCCACTATGCACAAACCCATTTACATCTTACCTACACATATAACCTGAAGGTAATTTTATATAATATCTTTAATGCAACCCCTCACGATGGCAGACGTGAAATTTTCCACGTGGGACATCATACTGATGTTCAAAAAGTTTCAGATTTTGGAGCATTTCGGATTTTTTTTGATTAGGGATACTCAAACTATAACTACAGCACAGTTTCAATTAGCTCCATTTTAACACCTAAAAACAGCTTCCACTTCCCCACCTCCCAACATCTCCGAAAATAAACACACTCAAACAGGTCAACTGCTGGCTCTAATCTATGCTGGTCACTGGGCCAGGTCATGAAGTCACATTAAATTAACAACACAACGAAAAAGAAAAATAAAGTTTAAAACAAAATTACCAATTTGTAAAAAAAAAACCAAAAAACACAAAATAAGCTCTTCAGTGTTGTTGACAATAAATCAGGTCCTTGTTCTTAATGAATTGATTAGGTTTATATTCGATGATTATACAGTGAGGTGTGACCGCCAAAGGTATGCATTACAGATTTTACGTGCTTGTGAACAAAGACAAACAGTACAGAGGGAAACAAACAAGCAAGGCCAGGTGTTCATGGTTTCATCCCAGGCTCTGCCATTAGCAGAGCAGGCAGGGCAGAGTTGCCTGGCTCCAAAGTCTTTTCCTAATTTGGGAATGAAATAACTGTCAATGTTTCCTCTGGAAAAAAAAAAAAAACATCAAACGAAGGGATGACCTCCAAATGCCACCAATCTGCACTGTTAACTTACTACAAAAAATTTTCTAACGTCTACAAAAAGCCAGAGCTTACTTAGTAAATGACCCACTTCTATGCTCACAATTTTAAAGCAGAATCATACCCAAAGACATCATTAGCCCTTTCTATGCCTGTAAATAATTAAAGCTTTTAATTATGGCCTTTACACTTTGGGCCAGAGCAACTTTAGATGGCTTTGAAATAGCTCTCAATCCCAACACCCAAGTCTAAGTGCTCCACTTACAGTTCCGGAGGTTGTGCCAGTCAATTTTGGAGAAGAAAGGGTGCCGACAGAAACCCTCAAACTTCAATCTCTCTTTCTGGCCACACAACAAACTCTGAATCAGATCGAGGAACTCACTGCTAACTTCAGGGTCATCTGGGAACTTCAAAAACCTCTGTTCAAAAAGAAAGAATAATTATTTCCAGAGAAGTGATTCAGTTTATGTCCCAAAGTTAAGAAGGTATTTCTCATACATGCAAGTTCTTTTTTTTCTTTTACAAATAAGAAAGTTTTGTGCCTGTATAACTTTAGACCAAAGACATGTTCCCAAAATAAGTGGCCTGTTCACATCAATAGGCCTAGTTCTTTTGTAGGGGTTCAATATCCTTCATGCTTGACCTGTGCTTCCCTCTCCCATCTAATCTCACATGCCCCCCATCTCCCCTTCTCTCTCTGCCATCCAAAAGCAATGAGCTATTTAAAGCTCCCAGAACACCTCACGCTGTTCTCTGAGCCTAGAACTCCCTCCCCACTCACCGAGGCCCTCCAGGCCACTTTTCAAGCCCTTATCATGTCCTTCTGCACCTCTCCTCTGTGCTCTGCTTCTCTTTTGCCCCTCCTTTCTTTTCTCTCTTTTTGATTTTTTGGTCAAGGTGTCATGTAGACTAAGCTGGCCTCAAACTCTCAAAGTAGCCAAGGTGGATGACCTTCAACTCTTGATATACTTGCCTCTACTTCCCAAGTGCCAAAATTACAGGGGTGCATCACAATACCTAGCTTGTATTCCATTTTTCACTGACACAGTAACTATGGTTTCTGGGGCTAGAAAGATGGCTCAGCAGTTAACACTGGTTGTTCCTGCAGAAGACCCAGGTTCGAATCCCAGCACCCACATGGCAACTAACAACTGTTCATAACTCCAGTTCCAGGGGATCCAACGGCCTCTTCTGTTCTCCACGGGCATTGAATGACATGGGTGCACTTACCTACATGCAGGCAATACATGCATACACATAAAATAAAAATAATAAAAATTTTTTTTAAGTTAAAAAAACTAACTATGGTTTCTGAGTGATGATGGAGACAGAAGTCAAAGCAAGAGGGGCCCCTTGCTCATCACTGCCAACCTGGTATCTACCAGTATTCAGCACAGTTTGCCTATGACTGAATTATCGAACGTGTCAACTAAAATGGAGGCTATAAATTAGCTCCAAGAATTATCTAACGGGAAATTTCAACTCAAGAGAAGACTCAGTAACAATATATCTACATAAAAAAACAAGCATGAACCATTCCCGGAAGACAAAAATTGGATGAGATACAAAAAGCTGGGGAATGAGCTTTCTCCTTTAGCTGAAACCAAAAAAAAAAAAAAAAATGTTTATCATATTCTTTAGAAATGGGTTTAACATGATACAAAGTATACTGATTAAAAAAAACGGTTTTTACTTTATATGTACATATATATTACTTTCATTTTCATTCATTTCTACAATTTTTCCACCACATTTGATAAGTGGTACTAAGAAAACAGCATAGTATAAAACCAAGAGCATGGAATTCAGAGTCTGCAACTTACTTAACCTCTCTGGCTTTGCTTTCTTCAACCACACATGAAAATAAGAATTCCTCCCTTTCAGGGCTGTTTGAAGAGGCACGAAGCCAATAAGCTATATTTCATCAATTCTAAGACTCACATTTATGCACATTTAACAACACTGAAATCAAGATGCATTTTATAATCAATAAAAAGATCCAATTAAAATGGCAACAGTTTTTCTTTGTAGTGCTACATAAAATGATGACGTACCCTTATGATCATTGGCAGCTGAGCCTCAACTAGCCACAGTGAAGAAAATGCTCAGCAGCTTCTGACACAAAAATGAAGGCTGTTGCTTTACACATGAACATTCATTCACACAGTTTACAATGACATTCCTCAATATTACTTCAAATGCTGATGACCCTTCACCTGGAAATTCATGATGTTGTTGAAAGTCCTGGCAGAGGTGCCCTCTGTGAATGGGGTTCTCCCATAAACCATCTCATAAGCAACCACTCCCACTGACCACCAATCACAGTCCAGGCCATAGGTGCCTCTTCCGTCCCCGTTCATCACCGTCAGCACTTCAGGAGCCATATAATCTGGGGTCCCAATCGGGAGTTTGGCATCGACCTAGAAGCCCATAAATAAAACGAACACAGAAAACTCTCAATTACCCTCCAGCAGAGTACCAACAGCCACATCAGACACAAGCTGATTTGCCACTGATTACTGTTCTTCCAGGCACTTAAACCTTCTGTCAAGTGGGACACTATCAGGAAATGCAAACGCTTTACTAATTTTAAGAGGTATGGGAGGCATAATACAATCAAAAAGCAAACAGATAAGATTTGTTGATGACATACACTCTTTCGTTACACAACTGAATGTTGGGCACATAACTGGAATGGAAGATGTGTCTCCTGATATAAGTGACTGACATACCAGAGCTTGAAAGTACTGAGGAATTGAACCCAGAGCCTTACACATACTAGACAAGCACTTTATCCCTGGGTTACATTCCCAACTCCTTTTACTTTAAAAAAAAAAAAAAAAAAAAAAAAACCTGCAAAATGGGGCTGGCAAGATGGCACAGCTGGTAAAGAGCTTGCTGTATAAACATGAGGATCTGAGTTCAGATCCCCAGAACACACTAAAAAGCTGGGCATGGGAGTGCATCTTTAATCCAGCACTGGGGAGGCTGAAACAGAAGATCCCAGGAGCTTGCTGGCCGGCCAGTCTAACCAAACTGGCAAACTCCAGGTTCAGTGAGAGACAATGCTTCAAAAAGTACTGTAGAGAACAATAGAGGACAACGCCTGGCATTGGACTCTGCCTGCACACTAACGTACATGCATGTGTGTACATACAGCCCAACGTGTGCGTGCACACACACACACAAAAAAAAATGATAATAAACCCTGAAGATGAATCTATAAGACAAGATCAGCCATTACCAAGAACTGGCAGCTTGCTGGCCATCAGTGGCACGAAATCATGCTGCATCTCAAGTTTGAAAAAACCGAAAACTGCCTTTGGGATCCACGTTCCTCCTTCAGCCCACCCACAGGGCACAGTGTGATAAATAACTTCTACCCAAGCTACATGGCATTGAGCTTATCTTTCTCATCCAACTCTTGCTCGCTGTTCAGAGACCCAGAGCCCTCCAATTCAATGGTGCCAAAGCACTGCCTTTGGCAAAGACAGATCAGACTCTGCAGGAAGTCTTTTAATAACTAAGTATATTCCATTACAAGGACTGTCCTTGTTCCCTAAGACTATCTCCTTCTGTTGTAGTGTTTAAATGCCCTTTTTTTCTTGAAATGATGCTGATCAAAGAATTAGACTTTTGGACCCTCACTCCCACCCTTTAGTCAGTAAGTCACAACCCCTTTGATCATCAGAACTGTTTTCAACTTTTGCTGAGCCATGACATTTGAAGGTCTGAGGACTGAGTCTACACTTCCACCCTATCAAAGCAGAGGGGCCTGGCTTGAAACATGCACCATGTGATCAGCTGTCCTGTGCCCCCACAGCACCTCAGTCTTTTCTCAGGTCAACAGTGAGATGGTGCAGAAAAACCTCATTAAATATGAAAAGTGCCCCCCTGGGAACCCCAAGTACTGGAGGGGGGAACCACACACCCTTATGGCTAGACTTAGGTAAGAAAGTAAACTTGCTTTGCTTTGATTTCTCTGGGTTTTAAGAGACGGGGGGCGGGGGCGGATTCTAGAAGGCACCATGAGGTCTCCTTCCCTGGTGACAGAGATGAAGCCCTTCCAGCTGTAACTTTATGCTTGTCCATTTTCCTGCCCAACCTTCTCATTATAGAAAATAAGATTTCCTGAAAGTCTCTCATTCTCTCTTTCACTATTTATTTACATATGTGTATGTGTGTACACACAGAAACATACTATAGGTACATATAAATCATTCTTATAATTATCTCATTCCCTCTTTTTTACAATTACATGTAATAGGAACATTGAAAGTATTCCTGTAACTATCCTGTTCCTTCTCCCTTACATATTTATAGACATACCCACACATATATACAACACAGGAATATTGAAATCCTTCCTGCAATTCTCCCATTCCCTTTCCTTCCACCCCTTCCAAGCCCGCACTCTGGTGTCTGTTTCCTTCAAGCCAGAAGGCGGTGCAATGATGTTATTCCTGACACTGATCACCCACTGCTTTGGGCAATAGGATTTCCAGTACAAGTACCCACTGGAGAAAGCTCAATAGTCAACACCACCCAAGAAGCCAGCAGTCAGGTCTGTGTTGAAGGACAAAAGCGAAGGCCCTAGGAAAAGACTGAGTCTAGAACCACAGTGTAACTTAGCCTTGAACCCAAAAGTAGTTTAAGTTGAAGAAAGGCCTGGATGACAGGGGTCTGGGTCAAGGAGTCCACCTTTCCATGGGTCTGTAAATAGTGAATTCAGCACAGGATTAGGACTTAAAACACAATACTGGCAAGAGCCAAAAGATACTCTTGAAATAACAAAATGAGAAGAAAAACTATAACATTTTGGTTTATCTAAATAATGGTGATTTCACTACACTAATGCTAAACACTAACCCTTATTGATTCAGTACATAACTATCTTGTAAGAACAGATCCACAAAACTGCTAGATGGGCACCATTTGCACTGGTTAAATTTTATTCTACTGCCACAAAGGCTATTACAAATCATTCTGGTTTTGTATGCAGCTGACAGAGCATGATCACTTGTTCACATCCAAAGAGTTGCACTTGATCAGGTCAAGTCTCCTAACCAAAGGATATAAATGGACAATACCCCACTTCTAAGCTAATGATTAGGCTTACAGAGCGACTCAGATAACCCTATAATAAATTCTTGTCCCATAATAGAAATATGATTTATATATACTTATGTGTACTTTCTAAATTTCATTAGTAATTTGTACTAGAAAGCTATGAAAGCAAAAATATCCACTAGTATGCTCTCTATACAACTTCTATGCTAGTACTTATTAGCCACTGGCAAAGGATTTTTAATAACTACCAAGTTTCCATTACTTGCTGCCCTCCAAGCACATCAAACCCATGCACTGTGTAGTCTCGCACGCTCTAATAAAGCCTTTTCCGCTTGCTTTCCCTCTCCTCTGACTACAATTCAGCCAGCTGATCTAGGTGAGATATTAACAGGAAATATGAACTAGGGACCCACACAGTACACTATCAGATAATGCCCTGGTATTACTAAAGTTTAGTTCATTTTCACTGCACTGACAGGGAAAATGAAATCAGGTCGGCAGAAGAGAACAAAAGGACCAGGAGACAGCAAACTCTGCCATATTTTAGGAAGAGAGGGAAAAAGTAAAGGAAGAAAGGGAGGGAGGCAAAAAGAATCTAAACGTTCAGCACTCTTTTAAAAATAAAAAGCAGCACTCAGGAAGTAGAGGTGGGCAGATCTCTGTGAGTTCAATGCCAGCCTGGTCTACATAGTGAGTTCCAGGCCAGGCCCACTACAGGGAGACCCTGTCTCAAAAAGACCAAAAATAAAAATAAAAAGCAGGAGCTAGTTTGGTTCCCAGCACCTGTGCTGGGCAGCTCCCAACTGCCTACAACTCCAGTTCCAGGGGACCTGATGCCCTCTTTTGGACTCTGAGGACACACACATGCACATACCCATGGACAGACATACACATACACACATAATTTTTAAATAAGTCTTTAAAAAAATTAAGGAAGAAAACTATTATCTTCTTCCTCCTAAACCCTTACCATAAGATGCTAAAACATGGAACTATTTCAAACTTCACTTTCCCACCTAGCTGCCCAGAACAGAAACACACCTGCAGAAGTAGAAACAAATATCCATTCCTATCATTTCTGGATTTAGGGTTGGAAAATCTACACCTGAATGTGGGCCTGAAAAGGGGGCAGAAGGAGTGGAAATGGAAGAATTATAGGAATTATTTCTGTATTTCTATAGTATACATGTATGTATAAATACATAAGAGAAAGGGACTAGGAAAATTACAGGAATGAAGGAAATCAAATATTTTTACTCCTACAGAAATCTAAAAAGAACTATTGCCTATGGCTTTTAACTTCTAAGGAGCTGATTACTGTGCATAATACACTTTATTTACAATCCATTTGCAACTAGTTTCATGAGACTAAAACAGAGGTTGGAACCATCAGCTGTTTGCCATTCTCAGATTCTGATAGGGGGAAGGGGGTGGCCTAAGCCACACAGCTTAGGTCATTAGGCCTGCAGTCCTGTTAATGAAGACAGATACTCTAAAGCTACAATCTGAGTAAGCGGCTTGAAACAAAGACAACAGGAGCTGGAAAAGTGCATTACATGTAAGAGTCACAAACATCAAAAATACAGGGGCAACATCTGGGAGTGGAAAAGGACTGATGAGTTTGGGGATGGCACAGAGCAAGTTCAGTATATAAATTTGTGTGCACATATATGTGGAGTCCAGAAGAAAATCACTTTCTACCTTGATTGGGAGACAGGGGACAGGTACACGTGTGGCATGACACACATGTAGAGGACAGGACAGCTTGCAAGAGTCAATTCTCTCCTTCTACCGTCTGGGTCTTGGGGATCAAGCACAGGTCCTTGGGCTTGGTAGCAGGCACCCTTACCCACTGAGTCATCCTGTCGGCCCAGCACTGTGATTTTCGAGACAGGAATTCTCACTGAGTCTGGAGCTCACTGATTAGCTAGGCTGGCTGGCCAGTGAGCCCCAGGGATCCTCCTATCTCCACCTCACCAGTGCAGGGACTACAAATGTGTACCACCATGTCTGGTTGTTTTTTTTTGTTTTGTTTTTTTGTCATTTTGAAGCAGGGTCTCCCTGTAGCCCCAGCTGTCCTGGAACTCACTATGTAGACCAGGCTGGCCTTGAACTCACAGAGGTCTGCCTGCCTCTGCCTCCCAAGTGCTGGGACTACAGGCATGCGTCACCATGTCCAGCTTAACTTTTTTTTTTTTTTTTTTTTTTTAATGTGAGATGAACTCAGGTCCTCATGCTTGCAAGGCAAGCGCCATACTGAACGAGCCATCTCCCCAGCTGCCAGATTACATTTTTATGGCATATTTTGATAAAGAAAATAAGTAAAATCCACTTTAGGCCTACAAAACATTCAATCAAAAATAAATGGTTAGCCCCCCCGCCAATTAATCAAAAATATGAAACAAAATGTTTCTAATCTTAAAGCCACACTTTATTTAGACTCAAAATTATTGCTTTTCTGTAATTTAAAAAAAAAAAAAAAAAGACCTTTGCATTTTAAACATTGCTAAAGGGGTTGAGGAGACAGTTCACTGGGTAAGGGCTTTCCATACAAGCATGAGGACCTTGAGTTTGAATCCCAGAACCCACACAAAGCAGGGTATGGTAGCCCATGACTATAATCCTAGTGTACCCATGGTAAGATGTGAGGCAGATATAGGAGAATCCCTGGAAACTGATGGGCCAGTCAAAACAATAAGAAAGACTGTCTCTAACAAGGTGAAGGCAAGAACCAACTCCCAAGGTCATCCTCGAACCTCCACATGCACCATGGCACACACACACCAACACAGATGAACACACACACGAACACACACACACATACACATACACACACACTAAAGACTACAGGGAAAAGACAGGTGCAATGTTCTTGTGTGTGTATTAAGTACCCTATCTCTTTAACCAAAATAATCAGAGGCTGAGCTCTGAGCTACAAATAAACTGAGGGTCCCCCTCCTGCAGTAATTAGAACTGGAGAAGGCAGTTTGAAGCACTGTGAGATGAAGACTTGAAATGAACAGGGCTCTGAAGAGAGCAACTGTAGCTGCAGGGTCAGGGCCTCACTCTTAACTCTCACTATTTACCAAGAAGTGATGGTGGATCACAATGTACTTTCCCAAGGGGTTTTCTTACTATCAACATACACTGCTGGCTCTAATTGGTTAGCTTTCTGATGCTTCTCAGTCTTCCTGCAGGCATTTTCAACCCAGGGTGGTTTTGCAACCCCCATCCTTGGGGTACATTTGAGATTGTTGGAAACATTTTTGGTTGCTATAATTGAGGGGAGAGTGAATAGAGATTAAGGATCTGGCTAAACATCCTATAATATATAGGACAGCTCCCGCAACAAAAAATTATCCAAACCAAATAACAATAACACTAAGGTTATATAGACAGTGCACCTACACTAAACTTTTTTCTAAGTATATTAGTTTATTATTGTCACTAAAGCAACTTGTGAGCTTTTAAATCCTAGGAGATAAAGTGTTGTGTGATCTTACTTTCCCCCTGTGCTTTATTCCACTAAATTCAGTATCTGAGCTTTAACATTCATTTCTGAATTGGACATTACTTGTGGCAAAAGAAAATATTATGGCTTGAACCCACAGTCTTGCCCATGCTAAGTGCACGCACTACTAAGATATACCACCGCTTTCGGCTTTTAGGTTGGAGGAGGCTTAGATGCAACTTTCTTCAGTTGTCCTGAATCCGGGTTCATCTGACACCAGCCACCTCCATCATGCGCCCAAGCTCAACCCCCAACAAGATCCAAGTCGTCTCCTGAGATGCACTGGAGGCGAAGTCGATGCCACGTCCACCTTGGCCCCCAAGATTGGGCCCCTGGGTCTATCTCCAAAAAAAGGTGATGATGACATTGCCAAGGCAATAGGCAATTGGAAAGGTCTGAGGATTACAGTGACACTTACTATTCAGAACAGACAGGCCCAGATTGAGGTTGTACCTTCTGCCTCTGCCCTGATCATCAAAGCCCTCTGGAGCCACCAAGAGATGGGAAAAGCAGAAAAACATGAAGCACAGTGGAAACATCAGTTTTGATGAGACTGTCAGCATTGCCGGACAGATGCAGCACCAGTCCTTAGCCAGGGAACTTTCTGGAACTATCAAAGAGATCCTGGGGAACTGCACAATCTGTGGGCTGCAATGTGGATGGCCACTACCCTCATGACATCATAGATGACATCAGCAGCGGTACAGTGGAATGCCCAGCTAGTTAAGAGAAACTATTTCAATAAAAGATGATCTGACCAAAAAAAAAAAAAAAAAAAAAAGATATACCACCAACCCTTTAATTATTTTTAATATATTATACATATATTTCAAGTAAAGTAAGCTCATAAAATGTTTTCCTATGGCTTTTTCAAACACCCTCAGTGTTATTTATCTCAATTCCTTAAAACATAAAATAATTTGATTCTATAATTTTTTAAATTTTTTTCTAATTATGTTTATTTTTTGTACGTTATGTGCCTGTGTACATGTGTAGAAGTCAGGGGACAATTTGTGGAAGTGGGTTTTCTTCTTCCACCGTATGATCCCAGGGATCAAACATGGGTCATAAGGCTTGGCAGCAAATGCCTTAACTTACTAAGTCATCACCAGCCCCTGATTATATCATTCTTAATATGATGGCTAAATGAATAAAGAATTTATTATGTTTATTTATAAAAAAAATATTGTATTCATAAAAATATAACCTGAGGGGCTAGAGAGAGAGCATAGAAGTTAAGAGCACTGGCTGTGATTATAATATGGTCCCCAGCACCCACACTAGGCGGCTCACAACTGCCCATAACTTCAGCTCCAGGGAATCAAACTCCTTCTGGCTTCCAAAGGCATGCACACATGTGGAATATATCCACACAGACACATATATAAAGTTTTTAAAAATTAAAATAGCTGGGCATTGCAGCATACACCTTTAACTCCAGCACTCAGGAGGCAGAGGTAGGTGGATATCTATGAAACTGAGACCAGCCTGGTCTATATAGTGAATTCCAGGTCAGCTGGGGCTACAGAGAAACCCTGTCTTTAAAAAAAAATTTGTGGAGCTGGAGAAATTGCTCAGTGGTTAAAAGCACTGGCTGCTCTTGCAGAGGACCTGGGTTCAGTTCCTAGCACCTACATGGTGACTAACAACCACCTGTAACTCCAGTTCCAGGGTATCAGACGCCCTCTTCTGACCTCCACAGGCATTGCATGACACGGGTACACTTACATACTGATAGGTAAAAATTTTGGCGGAGAGAGAGTGAATGGATGATGAGGCACCCAGGCACAGCTAAAACTCCATCAAAATAGGGTTTAATAACAAAGGAACACATGGGACAGATTCCCTTCTGGGCAGGGAAAATGTCTTCCCGGTCTTGAGCTGGGGTCTTTTTAAAAGGGAGGCTTCTGCTTCCTGCAGAAGGTAGGAAGCTGTATTTTTTTTAAAGTTGGGGGGGCGGGTAGTGGGAGAGCAGGACTGTTAAAACCTGTCCTCTTTAGGGATCAAAGGGTAAGCCTGCTGTGTTGGCCAAACAGTGAAGAAAAGTCTGCTTCTCTTGACTTCAAAGACCATGGTGCTTATCAGCTAGTTTCCCTTTTCTCAGGAGCATGAGAAGTCCTTGGGATCCTGTTGGTGAGGGGGCAGGGCTATCTGAACCTTAACACACACAAGCAAGCAATATACTCATACACATAAAATAAAAATAAAGTCTTTTAATTTTAAATTAAATTTAATCTTAAAAAAAAGAATATAACCTAGAAAAAAAGTACTGAGGTTGACTTTGCACATCACAGAGGTCCTATTTTTCCAAGGATCTGAACACTAAGTAAGTTACCTCAATAGTCTCAGGCCTGCAGAACACACAGGCCAGACACCGAAGCACAAAGAGTTATTGCAACTCTAAGCCTCTTCCCAATATCAATCTAATAATATACAACTTTCCCAGAGGAATCTGAGGAGGAAAAAAGTAATTTTTACATATTGTCCATTACATAAAAGACTTAACTCTCAGACCTGGGAGGCCTTCTAAAGAGCAGCTTCTCTAATCTCTTTGCATTTTAACTAGAATCTGTATTTTCTAGAGAAAGGATGAAGGCTGAGGTCCTAAGGATATGTGGAAGGCACCAAGTAGCTCAGTGGTGAAATGAGTCTTAAAATCTAAGTTGATTTTTTTCTCTTAAGACTTACCCTTTTTGCATAGCTAACCTCAAAATCCACATTTCCGTTATGAGCCAACTTTATTAAAGAATTTTTAACTCATTTTTTTTCCTTCATCATTTTTCTCTGAAGTAATCTCATTCTTGATCTCAATCACTCCTCTCCTGCCTTCCTAATTAACAGGTGGAACAAAATCTCATTTTTACCAAAGGTCTAAGACTTGAAAATGGCATTTTGAGTATCAGTTCTTGACACTTCAGGATATTTAGTTCAAATTCTCTAGTAATTACTTTCAATTTTGCTGCATAGGAAATAGAGGATTTGAGAATAAGAAGGTTATATCATCATCAAAGTATTTTAAAGTAAATCAAGATACTGTAACACAAAACAGTCTATAAGAGGTCAGGAAAATGAAAGAGAAAAGAAAGTAAACATTTTCTTTGCTTTTTTAAGCAAACTACTAGAATGCTCCCAAAGATGGCTCATGGGGTATTAACAGGTATCATACACAACAGGGATGTGTTCCCATCCCTACCCACACTCCCTCAAAGAGTTCAACACTGGCAGATGGCGCTCCAAAATATTGCCCACCACTGCATCCAGTATTTCCAAAATTTTTGAGGCCACACAACGGCTTTGAATATAACCCCCACTGAAGTATCATATTCCACAATGTGATCACCTTATGTGAATTCATTTTAGCAGCTGATCCAAAATCTACCAGCTTGATGTGTCCAGTTCGGTCGATTAGAATGTTCTCAGGCTTGATATCACTGTAAGAAAATCAACACCTTAAATTAATATTGTCTTCTCCTTATCAATCAACAAGCAACTGTTAACCTCAGGGCAAATTCAGTTGAGAATGTTAGTTTGTATGTTCTGTGACAGAGACCTTCCCTGCTGGCAGATATGAATAATTAGCATACACCTTCAAAAACAAATCTAATTTTAAGAAAGAAAAAGGAAACGAAACAAATACTCAGTATTAGTCGGATCATTTCTGTTAAAGACACTAATTTTTACATTGCAAAAACTAAGGCCAAAAAAAAACTAAGGAAATTGCCTAAGGCCATGTGGCTTATAAATGGAAAAGTCTTGAGTCCAAATTCTGCAGCTCCCGGGCTAGCCATCATTGCATTCCCACAACATTCTGAGACCTACGTACAACCTGAGACAAGGGAGGATGTGAAGAAATACCTGCTGACTGAGGATTCTGCAGAATACCTTTGTAATCTGTCAAGGGGCGCTGCTAAAAGCATGCTAGGGTTGGATTTTTAGTGCCCCAAAGGCCCGTGTGTTAAAGGCTTGGTCCTAACATTATAGGAGACGGTGGAACCTACAAGAGGTGGGGACTGGGGAGGGGGCATCTTCAGGTCACTGGGGACTTGCCGTCTGTTTTAGTCACTTCTCATCAGTGAGATAAATAATTGGGAAAGAAAAGTTTGTTTTTGCTCAGAGTTTTGGAGGTTTAAGCCCATAGTGGGCAGCTCTATTGCTTTGAGACAGAGGTGAGGTAAAATATCATGGCACAGGAATACAACAGAGTAAAGCAGCTCACCTCACTGCGGACAGAGAGGGACCAGGGATGAGGACAAGGTATTCATGGACAGAGGGAGGGACCAGGGATGGGAATAAGGTATACATGGAGAGAGGGAGGGACCAGAGACGGGAACAAGGTATACATGAATAGAGGGAGGGATCAGGGATGGGGACAAGGTAAACATGGACAGAGGAAGGGACCAGAGATGGGGATAAGGTATATACGAACAGAGGGAGGGACCAGAGATGGGGACAAGGTATTCATGGACAAAGGGAGGGACCAGGGATGGGAACAAGGTAAACATGGACAGAGGGAGGGACCAGGGATGGGCACAAGGTAAGTATGGACAGAGAGAAGGACCAGGGGTGGGGACAAGATATACATTTCAAAGGACCCCTGGAATGATTTACTTCCTCAAACCAGGTCCCACCTCCCAGTTTCCAGCAACTTTCAATAATGTCATCAAATCAGTAATTCATCAATATGTTAATCTGTTAAGGAAATCAAAGCCCTCATGATCCAGTCACTTCCCCAAAGCCTCACTGGCTAGCAGCCAAGACTTTGACACATGAGCCATCAAAGGAAATTTCAATTCAAGCCATAAAACTCTCAAGAGAAACTGTGGAATCTCAGTCTACTCCCATCTCTTTTTGCTTCCTGGCCAAAAAGTGAGTGACACTGCTCTTCCACATGCTTCACGACACAGGCCCAAAGCAACAGTGGCAATCAGTCTGAAACCTCTAAACAGTGAGCCAAAATATACCTTTTCTCATAAGATGATTATCTCAAGTATTTGATATAGTGTAGAAAATTGACAGAGCACAAATGTCTGATCTCTTCCTAGGTGGTACGCCAATCCCTCTGCAAACCAAAGTCAGTGTCCTACCACATAGCCCAAAGGGCCCCAAAAAAGGGTTCCTGATCCCCTTAGCTACACCTAATAGCTAGATCTCACCAGAAAACTTGAGCACATTCTAGTCCCACATCTACTTCATGGCTGAATGGGCATACTGAAATGCCTGCCATTTCAGAAAGCTTATTTTCAGAAAAATCACAGGTGAAGATGGCTAAGAACTGGAAGAAGCATTTTTGAGATCCAAAGGCATTCATCTATGCAGGACTCTTCCATGATTCAGAGAAGTTCTCTATATGCTACTAAGGAATCCCACTTACCGATGTACATATCCCATCTGGTGAACACTGTGAACAGCTAAAATCAGTTCGGCTAGGTAAAACTGAATCATGTTTTCATCTAATTGGTCCTCATATCTATTCAGAAGAGACAGCAAATCCCCTCCAGGCTGATACTCCATGACCTGCAGAGAATGCCAAAGTTATTAATTTTTCACAAAACCAAAATAGTGAACACTGCAATTAGACCCTCAAACTACCACCTCACATGTTATAATTATGATGCCTCTACAAAGCAACTGCATATGTGTGAGACATATCGTAAGACACAGGGTTAGGTCTTTGCTCTACAAAATTACATCCATTATGCGAGAGAATCAATAGAAAAAAGAAAAAAAAAAGAACCTTCATACACCATGCACGATGCTTGCAAGGCAAACCTGAGTTGAATTAAATCCACTTCCTCCCACACCCACCCAATTTGACACTCCAGACATTCCCTAGGATCAGGTACATCACACAGACGGATATTCCCGAAAGGCAACAAACACTCTAACATTCTTTCGGCATTCCCCTTAGCACACAGCAGAATACGGGAGCCATGCAATAAATGTGATATAATCTTTTCCCTTTACAGTCAGTGTGGAAGGCAGTTGACAGTCTCCATTAAAAATTTAACTATGAAGATGCACCCTTTGACAGAGCTATTTTACTTCTAATGGTTTATTTTATTGGTACTTACAATAATTCATATATTAAAAAGATAAGTAAACAGAGTGACTGCTGGATTGTTCACAACAGGGAAAATACTTGGAACCATCCAAATACCCATCCATAAGAGACTGGCTACATTATAACATATCTAAACAATGGGATATGATACAGATATCAAAAACAAATGGATTCTATATATCCATACTACCATGGAAAGGTGTGACATTATATAAAGTGATCTTCTGTACAGGATAAAGTATAGGAAAAAAAATCTCCCTTTTATGAGAAAATTTGAGAGGAAAAAAATAGAACAAAGAGCTTCAGTTACAATGTTTGATGAGAAAAAATTCCACCCCAAAGAACTGAAAATCTTCATCTAGTATGCATGTGTATACATGTGTATGATGTGTGTACATGTATACATTTGTACATGAGTGAATGTGGATGTGCTGGATAGCTTTAGTTGTCAACTTGACATAACTGGGTAGAAGGAACCTCATTTGGGGAACTGCCTCCATTGGACTGATCTGTAGCCATGTCTGTGGGGTATTTTCTTGATTGTTGAGTGATGTGAGAGGGCACAGCCCACTGTGGGCAGTGCCACCCCTGGACAGATTGTTCTATATTCTATAAGAAAGAAGGTTGAGTATGGGGCAGGGGAGCAAGCCAATATTCATTGTTTCTCCATGGCCTGTGCTCCAGCTCCTGCCTCCAGGTTTCTGCCCTGAGTTCCTACCTTGGGCTCCCTGATGAGTTGTGACCCAGGAGATGTAAGCCAAATAAATCCTTTCCTCCCCAAGTTGGTACTGGTCAGAGTGTTTTGTTACAGCAATCAAAAGCAAACTAGAACAGTGGGTGTACACATGCCACAACACACATGTGGAGATCACAGGGACCATCTCAGGTATGGATTCTCAACTTCCATTCAATCTTGTTTTGAGACAGAGACAGAGTCTCTTTGTGGTCTGACACTATGTAGCCGGGCTGGCTGGCCAGCCCATGAGCTTCTAGGAATTCTCCTGCCTGTCTCCCATCTCCCTGCAGGAGCACTGGGATTTAGGATGCTCATACTATGGGTCTGACTTTTATATGGGCTCTAAGGATTCAAACTCTGGCCCTCACACTTACCCACCAAGCAGTTTTACCCACTAAGCCATCTCTCCAACCCTCCTCTGTCTTTTTTATGATAACCAGGTATGATATTCCCGAGTCAACACATGGCCTTGAGGCCACTTGGCCTTGATGGCTGCAGACTCCACCTAGTGACTTCACTTTTCAACCTTTCAGTTAGATCCTCTGAAAAATCAGGATTAGACTAATCCCCTAGCAACAGTGTTAGGACTAAGCAAGACAGGGGCCTCAGAGAGCCCGGCTCGGTGCCTGGACCCAACATGAAATCCGCAACTATCACTCAAGTCTGGTCCTTCCCCTCACTGTGGTCCTTTTCTGGCTGAGAGAAGCTGGGACCTGTTCAACCACTGCTGCCCCCGTTTACTCTTCCAGAGCTCTCCTACTCTGCAAGCTAATGTCCCGGGTTACTGGCCAATGACAACTGCATCCAGTCCTTTCTAGAAAAAGACAAGTTTCAAATGCACATCTTCGTACGTTCTTCCATGACAGTGACTCTTAACCACCAACCTGACTGCATTTAGAATCAGCACAGCAGCATAACTTGGGGTGTGTCTACAAGGGGGGTTCCCACAAAGTTTTAACTGAAGAGGGAATGTGGGCAGCACCTTCCTTGGGCTGGGGTTCTGGAGCACCCAGCACTCATCACTCTCTGCTTCCGGACTACAGACCCACTATGAGCAACCACCTTACCCTCCTGCGGCCATGTCATCCCATCCCAATGAACTGTATCTCTTCAAACCATAAGATTCTTCCCTTCAGTCGTTTCTTGTCAGGTATTTGGTCACAGCAATGAAAAATATAACTAACACATCTACCAAACACTGCATTCCCGAAACCAATTCTTGTAAATGCTAATACCCTTCCAACTCCAGTTTGCCTTTACTGCAGAACTAGAAGAAAGCCCTAGACAAGTCAGACGTGGAATCTCTATACAGATCCTGAGGGGCTTCAGACTGGTCCAGTAAAGATTCCTGCCCCAACACCAGGTCAGCTCCAGACCAAATAGCCCTGGAGAAGTCAGGCATTCATACTTCCTCCCGAGAGCTCCTGATAACCTGGGAACTGACCCAGTCACATGGCTTCTGACACTGCAGATACTGGACAATTGCATTGGAAGGTAAGAGTCCATTCTGTACTGCAGTTGCTGAAAAGGAATTCATTTACAGACAAGAAGTGCAACACTCAGAGGGAGCAAACTCTATTTCCTCCAAATTCACAGCAGATGTAAGCCACTCACCTCAGCCCTGGAGGAGCCCACAGGAGCCACCTGGCTTGCTAGCGCTCACCCACTCATCCCAACCTGGTTCTCCACAGACCCTGGGTATGTGGGTGAATGCTAATTTCTAAGTCTGCTTTAAATATATGTTGCCATTAAAAAGGTCTTAAACATCAAAAAGAAATTCACCGATAATAGCAGAAGTACTCATACTTTTAGAACGCAAATGGCTTAAAATAAGAACAATGCATATTTATGATGACACATCACAGTTACAAGTTTCCTAGGGCTCTATTAAAGACAGGAAAACCAGAATGGCTTCTAAGTTTAAAGCTGATAAAGTAAAAATATAACAACTGCTGCCAACTTCAGAGAGCTTACACATTGACTACTACTGGGTACTTAGTATCAACTCCTGAATATTCTATTTGCTAGGACCTGCAAAACTTTCCAGAACATAAGAATCCTCTCTTACAAAAGCAAAAAGAAACAAAGTCTTCACTCCTATTTGGAAGATGTCCACTTAAACTAGATTCATCTTTTCTGAGGATCAACAACTTCCCATGTCTTCAAAACTAGGACTGATTGAGAAAACAAGCAACAAAAATTTCAACAGCTGCCAGCCTGTATAATCCGACACAGGGCCAAAACAGACGTCCTAAATGACAAACATCTGATAGATACAGAGCTCCTCATCAGATAGACATCAGACATTACAAACCTGCATAAGCCCAGATTTTCATGTAAAAATTCCAACTGTGGGGCTGGAGAGATGGCTCAGCAGTTAAGAACACTGACTGTTCTTGCAGAAGACCCAGGTTCAAATCCCAGCACCCACATGGCAGCTAACTGTCCACAACTCCAGTTCCAGGGGATCCAGCAGTCTCTTCTGTCTTCCATGGGCATTGCACAACATGGGTAAACTTACCTGGCATGCAGACAATACATGCATACACATAAAATAAAAATAATAAATAAAATATTTTTAAAAAATTCCAACTGCGCAATATCAGCAGAACTGATCTGGACATTCATTAACTGAGCCAATTCAGCTATCCCAAGATGCTACCTATTTACTGAGTCACTCTATGCCAACACTATACCACAGAGTAGTACAGGTGTCATTCTGGACTATGTGGAGCCTATGGGGAAGACAGTTTGTGAAGTGTGAAACCAACCCAAGCTTAATCAATTATCATGCAGTTGAGCTTAAAGAGATGATAAAGAGCCAGGATTTGATCGTTTTTTGTTTATTTTCATTTTATGTGTAGGCATATTCTGCCTGTATGCATGTAGGTACACCTGTGTTGTACAATGCCCACGTTGGAGGCCAACGAGGGTGTTTATCCCCTGGAACTGGAGTTACAGATAGTTTTTAGCTGCCATTGTGGGTACTGGGAATCAAAACTGGGTCCTCTGCAAGAGCAGCCAGGGCTTTTAACTGCTGAGCCATCTCGCCAGCCCAAGAACCAGGATTTGAGGTCTTTCAGAAACACTTTGGAATCATGAAAAATGGCACAAACCAAGAGAATCTGAAGTCCTCACCAGAAGTCACAAGCCAAGAGTCAAGACTTGCTGTGACCTGGAGACTAGAATCAACAGAACACTGACCTAATGAAGAACAAAGTCATCGCCCACACTGTGCTGGAATCCATATAAACAGCACCTAGTTTTGTCAAAAAGTGTGTCCCAGTCCCTGACTTTCACTGCTCAGAGATAGCAGATGAGGCATTGATCTGTCCATCGCCCCCAAAATGTGACTTCTTACCCAAGAAAACTCTTAAGTTTTCCAGAGCAAGGTTTTCTAAGCCTGTCTACCCAAAAGGGTCACTGGGAAGTGTGGGTTTTAAAAAATAAGACATGGGACTGGAGATATGGCTCAGTGATTAAGAGTAACTCCAGTTCTTGGTGATCCATCACCCTCTTCTGGCTGCTATGGGCACTGCACTCATATGCACAAACCCATACACAGACACAGACACACAGACACACACATAAATTTTTTAAAAAATTTTTAATTAAAACACTAAAGACACAGGGCTAGCAAGATGGCTAAAGAGGAAAAGGTGCTTGCCACCAAGCCTCATGACCTGTGTTTGAGCCCTAGGACTGACATCATGGAAG